TTGCACACACGTGCAAAAACACATGACGCACCCATGCCAAAGTAAATAAAGCGAGTCAGGGTTCACGGCCAACGTCCCACAGCTCCTCCTCATGAGGAATAAATGTGAATCTGCAGAGCTACTGAATCAAAATGTAGCTGTGAGAAAAGCAGGACCATCCACACTCAGCAGAACACATCCAAACGCCCTCTGAAACGGAGACACCACACTATAAAAGGAGCTCATTACCCTGTCTTACCTAACGTATTGATGGGGACACATTCGTGTCCACCCTGCACAGTAAAATGGATGAGCATGTAGAATTAAGGCGCTCTGTACTTTACCGAGTTTCCTATCACTGTATAAAAGAAGCCCCAGGCTTCCTGACTTCAGATCACAGTTCAGACCATGAAGGGCTTATTATTGGCTTGTTTGATCAAAGGGAGCTGAAGAGTGATTCCTACTGACCTTTACTTCTTCAAAATCGTTTTTTGTAACACAAATAAAATCAAAGTCTGCAAAAGTTCTGCTTTTGCTGATTTCATAGTTAAATAAATCTGACAACAGAAACAGCTGCATTTTCGCTTCTGCATTGATGATGTGAATTTACATACACCGGTCAGACATAACATTCTGACCACCTCCTTGTTTCTACGCTCATTGTCCATTTTATCAGCTCCACTTACTATATAGGTGCACTTTGTAGTTCTACAGTTACAGACTGTAGTCCATCTGTTTCTCTGATACTTTGTTAGCCCCCTTTTACCCTGTTCTTCAGTGGTCAGGACCCCCATGGACCCTCACAGAGCAGGTACTATTTGGGTGGTGGGTCATTCTCAGCACTGCAGTAACACTGACGTGGTGGTGGTGGTGTGTTAGTGTGTGTTGCGCTGGTCTGAGTGGGTCAGACACAGCAGTGCTGCTGCACCTATATAGTAAGTGGAGCTGATAAAATGGACAATGAGTGTAGAAACAAGGAGATGGTCATAATGTTATGTCTGACCGGTGTATGTTGCTGGAGAAACTGCAGACTGAACCTTAGGAGCACGAAGCCAGAGCACAATGTCTAAACATGCTGGAGAGTTAATGGGAGCCAGACTGGAGGAAGTGGAGTGAATTGGAGGAGGTTTCCTTTCCTGCTCTGCGAACACCTCTTCCTGAAACCTGCATTTCTTTAGTTATAGGCCACTTCCTCCTGCCATTCTTCTTAGTGCTACTCCTCGCGAGGCCACGCTGAAAAAAAAAGCCAGAAGGAGAAACGACACAAGCTTTTGAGAAAACAGGATCCCTTTTATCAGAGGAAGCATGGCTTTTAAAGGGGAGTTCCACCCTTTTTTCAAAATTTCTCCATAATTCAGTTGTTGAGATGTAAACAAAGTGATTCTGGTTTGGTTGAAATGGTACATGGTAGAGAAACTTACCAACTTGGATTTTTAATAAGGATGACAGCAAAATGATCATACATGAGCCTTGTGACTTTTATATGCAATGTTAATACGATACATTTTCTGAAAAATCTGAAAAATGTGTTTTCTTGTAGGTATTTTCAAAATACATCTTAGGCCAAAACCTTATAATAAAATGATCATAAAACATCAGGGCAACAGGCAGCATATTTATTATAATTTCATGTAGGAACTTTCTGTGAGGGAGCTTTCAGAGGTGGACGTCTGGTTCCTATCACCACCACTGTGAACAGTTCTGACTGGTAAGTTTCTCTAGAATGTTTCATGTCAAACCTCTCTGAAGTGTGTTGTTCATATAGAAATTACAAACCTCACTTCCAAAAAAAAGCTGGAACAGTATGCAAAATGCAAATTTGTGTTTAAAAAGCAGTGATTTGTAAACCCACTTGTATCTGAATAAAAGCAGTACAAAGACAAGATATTTTAAAGAGGAAAGAGGCTTTTTAAGACTAGGAACGTTTCCACAAACATCTTCAATATGTGATGCAATCATGCTTGTGTATAAATGGAGCATCCAGGAAAGGCCGAGTCCTTTATGAGCAAGGATGGGTCAAGGATCACCACTTTGCCAAAAAAAGTGCTGGCAAATAATCCAAAAAAGTTAACAAGTTAACATTCCTCAAGGACCGCTTGCAAAGGGCAACATGGTGGTGCAGTGGGTGGCGCTGTCGCCTCACAGCAAGACGAGCCTGGGTTCGATTCCCCGGCCGGGCGACCAGGGCCCTTTCTGTGTAGAGTTAGTATGTTCCCCCTGTGCCTGCGTGGGTTTCCTCCCACAGTCCAAAGACATGCAGTCAGGCCAACTGGATATGCTAAACTACACCTAGGTGTGAATGTACCAGACACAGCAGAGCTGCTGGAGTTTTTAAACACCTCAGTGTCACTGCTGGACTGAGAATAGTCCACCAACCAAAAATATCCAGCCGGCAGCGTCCTGTGGGCAGCGTCCTGTGACCACTGATAAAGGACTAGAGGATGACCAACACAAACTGTGCAGCAGCAGATGAGCTATCGTCTCTGACTTTACATCTACAAGGTGGACTGACAAGGTAGCAGTGTCTAATAGAGTGGACAGTGAGTGGACACAGTGTTTAAAAACTCCAGCAGCACAGCTGTGCTTGATCCACTCGTACCAGCACAACACGCACTAACACACCACCACCACGTCAGAGTTACTGCAGTGCTGAGAATGATCCACCACCCAAATAATACCTGCTCTGTGAGGGTCCATGGGGGTCCTGACCACTGAAGAACAGGGTAAAAGGGGGCTAACAAAGTATCAGAGAAACAGATGGACTACAGTCTGTAACTGTAGAACTACAAAGTGCACCTATATAGTAAGTGGAGCTGATAAAATGGACAATGAGCGTAGAAACAAGGAGGTGGTCATAATGTTATGCCTGATTAGTGTACATATATATATATATATATATATATATATATATATATATATATATATATATATATATAAAACCAAAAGTTAACAAATATATTTTACTGTAGGTTTTTTGTTAATGTAAAAATAATTCTTTCACAATTTTCTTTCGCAGTCGCTGCAGGACTGAGTTAGACGTGAGCTTTGCATAAACGGTTAGCAAAGCGTCCAGTCATTTTAGGATTAACAGGCTGCAACACTGACACAGCGTAAACACACAGTCTGTTAATTCCATGACGTCGACCCTTTGACAACCAGCTCAACCACAGTGTGGTTCAGAACAAGCCACAGAGCAAAGAAGGATGATGTTTAAACTCAGTCATAGGTCTGCAGGGACCAGGCCTAAACGACGGCAACTTCCTCTTAAACACTGTTATCAGTATTTGCAATGTTATAGGTCAAACAAATGGACAGTGCCCAAACGCAGTGCTGGGACACTTTCTGAATACAATCTGTGACTTGTTTGTTCATTACTTTTCAAGCTAAAGTTATCACCTGCTCATTCCTGTCTATCAGGTTCAGAGGTTTATTCAAGTGATTTGGAGCATTTCGGTTGGTCCACTCAACGTGACGTTTCACACAACGTAAAGGACAGAAAATGATGAACAATAAAAATAGAGATACTGGTTTTGATCTGGACA